ACAAATAAATGCAGAGAGATACATTATGTTCACAGATTGAAAGACTCAATATTATAGAGATGTCAGTTCGCTACAAATTGATCCACATATTCAGTGTAGTCACAATGAAAATTCCAGTAGTTGGGTTTTTAATTTTAAATTTGCAAGCTAACATTTATACAGAAACGTAAAGGGTCAAGATTAGTTAAGGTCACATTAAAGAACCACAAATCTGGAAGTCTTCAACCACCAAATATCAAACTTATTATAAAGCTTTTGTAATTAACACAGTGTGTAATTTGTACAAAACCTGACAAAATATGCAACAAAACAGAGAGTCCAGAAACAAACCCACACAAATCATGACAACTAATTACACTAGTACATTATGGCAAGTTCGACAATGCAGAGCAGTGGGGAAAGGACAGTCTCTCTACTACTGAGTGAATGTCCATTTGGGATAAAAAGTGAATCTTGACTCCTACGCATACAACATCAGTTTCAGAGAGTTGTATACCTAAATGTGGATGATAACAAGAAAGCTTCCAGAAGAGAATATCCTTCTCTTTGGGATGGACAATGATTTCTTAAAGAGCATAAAGTGGTAACCATAAAAAGGGAGAACATGATAACTCTGACTGCATTTAAATTAAGAACTGTTCATCAAAAGATGTCAGGTAGAGAATGAAATGGCAAGCCACAGTGCGCAAGAAGAAACTTGCAATACATATATCAGATAATGACCCATATTCAGAATATTTAAATAAATTCCTACAAATCACTACAAACAAGGCAAACAACTCAATAGAAAAATGGGAAGACATAAATAGAAATTTTACAAAAGAGGGCTTTCAAATTTTCAATAAACATAATAAAATTTTCTCAATTCTATTAGTCCTTTGGAAAATGCAAATTAAAATCACAAGATACCATTATATGCAGACAAGTGTGGCTAAAATAAAAAAGACAGATAACATCAAGAGGTGGCAAGGATGTGGAGCAATGGTACTGTTATATCCTGTTTGAAGGGGGCAGAGAGTGGAAATTGGCATAACTTTAGAAAACGATTTAGTAGTATCTACTAAAGGTAAACATATGCACACCTTATGGCTTGGTAAATTCCACTCTTAGGTGTATAACCACCATAAAGGCATACTATAGTTGCCAAAAATTATGTACAAGAATGTTCATAATAGCACTCTTCACAGTAGGGACAATCTGGAAACAGCTCAAATCTCCATTAACTGTAGAACTGATGAACAAATTAAGATGCATTCATACAGTGAAGTGATTACATTAATCAGAATGAACAAACCAGTTACACGAACAACACAGATGAATATCATACAATGTTTAGGGGAAGAAGTCATATGCAAAAGAGTACACAAAACATGACAGCATTTATATAAAGTGTGAGGGGGAAAACTCCTGTGGAGTATGTAGTGACTAGTAGAGGACACAAGGGGAGCTCGTGGGGTACTGATTCTATTCTCTTTCTTGATCTGGCAGTTGGATCTGCATGTATGTTGCCTTTGCAAAATGTTATCAAGCTGTACACTTAAGATTTGCTCACTTTTCAATATGTAGGTTATACTCCAATAAAGTTTATTTTTTTAGGTGGCATTGGGATCCCCACCCATCTGTCTGGGCCCATTGAAAAAAAGGGACAAATAGATTTTAAAGATGATCGGGAAGAAGTAAGCATAGATTTCAATCTGCAAGTGTCCTTCCTCAGCATCTACAGGTGTGATGACTGGAGAACCGCCCTTTCATGACAGCTCCTGAGACAGAACATCAGCGTTTTCCCTGGAACACAAGCCATTTTCCATATTTTCAACATATAACATTCCTCCTCAAATTACCTACTCCTTGTTGGCTTTGTTTAATAAAAGAGAATCTAGCATAAAAAATGCATATATATTCCATTTTAAAGCATATTTGTATATTTAAGAAGACATATGTTTGAGAAATTTTTAACATTTGGACAACATTAGCCAGGAAACACCTAGAGTCAGATTTTAAGTGTTATACCTGACCTTTGCAATTATTTCCTTTTGCGAATACTAAAACTATTACCAATTGGATTCCTTTCTAATTTTCCTTGCTTGTTATTTTATGAAACAATTATCACAGAAAAGAAAAACGAAACAAAACAAAGGCTTAGAATTGTAGGTTTTTAGAAGTGTTTGTATTTAAACTTTGGAAAAAAATAAATTGATAAAAGAAATACAATAAACACCTATTTATCTCTGTCTGCAAGCAGTAAGATCAAAAAAACTTCTTCTCCCCTGAATTATAATTATACCTAGATTAATCATCAATAATGAAAAACTGCAAAGGTAATAATCAAGGCCAAGACATTTTGAAATATACGCTTAATCTATGCCAGAGGAAAAGCAGAAAAATAATAACAACAAAAAAGCCACATCTCACGCTTAAAGCACACTAAAAGCTGAACAGTAGAAATAATTCATTTCTACCCTTTTATTTTTTAATAATCAGACCTTCTACTTAGTTAATGAAAACATTCTTCTCTAAATGATATACCGTAATTTCACTAATTTTATTTATTTAGTCATAGGTTGTTACTCTGTTGTTTATTCAAGTAAATAACCAAAACATTTTCCCATAAGCAATTTAGCAATAAAATAGACTCAAGAAAACATCTACTTTTTGAAAACCACTTTTTAAATCACTTAGTCTGGATTATTTTAGAAGTACCTTATTATTATTATTGTAATAATAAACATAACCATTTAGTACAGCCAAATAGAAACCAGGTGTGGTTCTGAGTTGCTATCTTAGACATTTAAAACTCATAACAACCTTAACAGCTGGGTACACTATTATCCCATTTTATAGATGAGGAAATTAGAAGCACAATTTGGTTATTGGAAGTTACCTGAGCCACAGAGTCAATGAGCAAAGGCAGGATTTGAAGGCAAGTGGCTGTCACCAATCCCATTCCCTTGGCTCTTCTGCTAAGCTAAGGCACCTCTGCTATTTCCATGTGAGTACCGGTTACTATGGCACGTATTCCATCATTTTATCTTATTATTTAAATATATTACTTAATTCTTACTGTGAAGTCTCTCATTTTACTTTAAATGTATGTTAAATAAAAAAATACATATTCTATGTATGTCTTTGCTATTTTCTATATTTTTCCTACATTCATTAGAATTGTAAACACTCTAGACTTTGAATTTAGAGCAGGTACTATCTCCTAGGCATTTAAAGCAATTTACATATAGCATGCCATTTACATTTAAACACACACAGACATCTAGCACTATTGTCTGAATTGGTTTTTATGGTATGTTTTCTCATCTTCTATCTCATGACATTGCCAAAGTCAAATTCTCAGAGTCTAAACCCTTTATTCTTGAGGGGTGGTACATAAACAAGCAGCATCACCATTACCTGGGAGCCGTGAGAATTCCAGAAGCTAGAATTCCAGTACAGAATTCCAGGTGCCACCCTAGATCAACCGAGTCAGAACCTTCATTTTAAGAAGAACTCCAGGTGATTGTAGACATATTAAAGTATTAAAGTTTAAGAAATCTGCTTCGGCCAATCTATTTCTCTACACTGAAGGCTTCCATAATCCTTACTTCAGCTAATTTATTTCCGTAGGTTCTGTGAAAGATATTCTTACCAATTTTACCACTAAGCGTTTTAGTCTGTTAAAAGTATTCTTGAGTGCTTCACTATCTCTACCAGCTCTACTGCCTGCAGTATTATCGAATTTTACTGAATTAACTATTGAGGATGTAAAACAAACGTTTCTCTTCCAGGGCTGTCTGAAAAGCTATTTGTGTGCAAAAGGCCGTATCCTCCACAAGTGACTACAAATACCATCAACTGGAAACAGGCAGAGCTCACATGCTTTAGCTCTGGTGTATAGCCTCATCTATGAGAGTTCCTGAGTTAAAAGATCAATAGTAGAATAGCTACTGTTTTCTCAAAATCCTGGGAGATTTTATGCTGTATAATGGCACATGCTGATCTCAATTCCTTTGTGAATTCTTTTCAGATTTCTTTAGTTTTCAGGTATCCACTTATAAGTTTCCCTAAGGTTTTCTGGCTTTTTATATAAGTTGATCTGAAAGTTTCCAGAAAGATATCTTAGTAGTAACACAGGATTCGTGCTCTGGCTGAAACAACCAACATTAACAACAACATCATCAACAAAAAAGCCAAACATAATAACTAATAAAACCCTCAAACAAAGACAAATCCATATTGAAAACCATCAAAATAAGCTTCCAAAACAGTAAATTAATGCAAAAGAAAATCAATCTTATTACAATTTCAAAATGTAAGACAAAATTCTGTGCTGGTAAGTGCTTTTTACTGTTTTAATGAAGTATCAATACCCAAATCTTGAAAAACATCACCAAGTTGCTTTACTACCTCATCTCTTTGCATTGGCTCTTGAATGGGTGCAACATATCAGCTAGCTGGGGTAAGAAGCTTAATTTACTTGTGCAAATAGTATCAAGGAAGATCATTCTTTAAAATTTTACCAATAAGAAAATAAGGAATGTTTGAGTATGAAGTGGGTATTAGATAGTAGGAAGGAATTAATTTTAATTATATCAGGTGTGATAATCATATTGTGGTTATGTAAGATAAATTTCCTTGTCTTTTAAAAATGTATACTCAAGTACATTGGGCAGAAATGTCAAAAAAAATGCCCATAGGACATACTGGTACACACTGCTGCCACTAAAAATGAAATGAAATAAAAGCCCTACTAACAAAAAACAGAGAGAATGATGGACATGAGGGATCTAGAAAAGGCATCAATCATAGTGAAATTTCAGTATCAATGCAGGAGGCTCAAATAAGCCACTAGGCCATTGGATTAAAAGTGATGAAAGAAAAAATATTTTTTTTAATATTCATAATGTCACTGAACTAACACATTATATTTGAAAAATGCTATGGACACATTTTATTGACCACTTGCTCAAGTTACTATGATAACTATTTTACATATATTATTGCTCTTAATCTTTAAAATAACTATTCAAGTGAGACATGAAGAGCTCTTTTCCTATTTTCCTAACATTTCTAGCTTGGCCCAAGGAGAAGTTTTGCACTGCTTTACACAGTCTTCTTATTTTCTCTTATACTTACTCCACTTCATAGGATAAGGAGGAATAATTTGATTAGTCAGATAGTCATATTTTATTAGTAAGTGGTTTCTGTGCCTAAATGAATTAGAATAAATGTAAAAGTTAATCCAAAAATTTGGAAAACAACTAACTTAAAATTTTTTTTAATCTAAATTAACTCTTACTTTCCACCCTCATTCTTCTAGGAATCAACAATTTTGGTGGAGGATATAAACAACAAAACTAACACAGCAGAACAAAACTTTGGCAACATGGAAGGTATGCATGCACAAAAAACCCAAACAATATCTAAATGCAAGAAAAATAGACAATCTAAGAAAACAGAATTATAGTTGAATGCCTCCATATTCTACTATCAAACCACAACAGAAAAGGAGGACAAAAATAAAAACTATATGATGCTCAATTGGGGGATTTATGGTAACATAGACACTAGTAATTCTAAAAAGCCCTCTGCCTCAAAACATCTAGAAATGCTTCATAAAACACAATAAACATACTTTAAAATGCATTGTTGCACTCACTCAAAATAAGAATGACCCTACAGTGGCGAAATGAAGACAGAGCTGAAACAGCAGTAGCATCCACATGCAAAAATCATGGGTACCCTGGTGGTATTTACCAATAACAGGATCTTGAAGCCCTGATTTTAACAGCCTGACAGGAAGTAGTTGACAAGACTTTAGATTTGAAAAAGATGGGGACTTGGAATTAAGAACATCCAAAAGCCCAAAAAAGTGTGAATATTTTTTAAAAAAAAGCCTTCTATCAAGGGGAAGTGACAAGGAGAAAATTATTTATGATATCCCTGGCTTGGAGTAGAGAAAAAGAAAATCTCTCTTCTAAAAATGCATAAACCATAGTTCCTCCCCCATGGATTTGGGGCTTGGTTTTATAGTTATTATAAGTCCTGAAAAGCTTCAAGCAGAGAAATTAACTTAAAGAAGCAAGTTAAATTCATTGCAAAGTAATATAACCTCATCTGAGACCTCTCAGGATCCCTCTAATTTTTAAAAAGCCAAAAATGAGCTTGCAATCCAAAATTACACAACTCACAAAAAAAATAGGCTTTCATAAAGGAGAGTCCAAAGAAGCAACAAAGAGCAGATTTAGAGTGCCAAGAGCTTCAGACTTTCTAATTGTCAGATACACAACATAATATAAATACAATAAAAATCTCCAAATATATAAAAGAAGGAAGTACAAACATGAGAAAGGAACAATAGGATGTAAAAAACCAATTGGAATTTTAAAGTACCAAAGGTAACTTCTAGAAAAAATTATTAAATAATATTATGATCTCTATAGATGAATTGAATAAATTAGGTACAACCTCAGAGAGAGTTAATAAACTGAAAGATACACTTGAATAATTATGTAAAATACAACAAAAAAGGTGATGAAACTACATAAAATGGAGGAGAAAATGGAAAGTTCTAACATGTGACCAATCACATTCCCTGAAGGAGAAACAAGGGAGAACGGAGGAGAGTCCAGGATCAGGCCTAGGAGGAGGCAAGTGAGGCAGCTAAAGCAAAAAGTTCAAAGGGGCATTTATTCTTCCTAAATTTTGCCACCTGGAAGAGGCAATACCAAGGAAGATAATTAGCTAAAAAGTTTTCCAGAATTGAAACTTGAGATTCAGGAAATACAATGTTTTCCAAACAGGATAAATAAAAAGAAACTTACATCTAGAGTCAATAATAAAACTGTAGACTATCAAAGACAAAGCGATTGTAAAAGCAGCCAGAAATAAAAAATTGACTACTTTAGTAGACACTGTTGGTGCCCTGCCTATACCCTCTTTATCAGCCAGGGACCCACACTTACCTTCTCCTGATGATTGTCCTCAGCTTACTGGAAATGTCTCACAGTTTCTTTCCATACTGCCTCTGAAGACAGCCCATTGCTAAAAACTGACCAATAAAAAGATACCAAAGGCCAGTCCCCTTGCATCAATGTGAGACATTTCTATGGTACCCTCAGGATTGAGAGTTTCTTGTGGAATTAGACTGATCTTCCACTAAATCCCATCTTTGACTAGCTGTTTTTCCTTTCCTATACTCTTCTCCTAATTTTTTTTTTCTGATTTCAACTAACAAAACTGAGAATCCCCATCTTGGGTTTGACTCTAGAAAGTACAAATGAAGGCAATTATCAACCAGCAAGTGATAAATAGATCACCAGCAGATTGTCAAAACAACAATGGATGCCAGGAGACTGTAGAATAATACATTCTAAGTACTAAGAAAAATAATTGTTAGTTAAGATCTCTATTTCCAAAATATAATTTGAGGATAGAAGTGAAATAAATATCTATTCAAATGCATCAAAACAGGGTTTACTACCAACAGACCCACACTGAAGAACATTTTAAATAAAGAATTTGGGGCAGAAAGAAAATAAACCCAGATGGGAAGTCTGAGACACAAGAGGGACTGGAAAAAAAAGAAGAAAGTAATTAGTGAACATGTGGGTAAAGTAAACTTAATCAACAACATTTAAAATAACATTAGTAATAATAATGCTTAAATCAGTGAATAACAAGCCAAAGTGGAACTAAGTTATCTTACAAAAAAAGGAGGGAAGTGATTGAACTTAAATTGTAATATCTTGCATTTTTGAGGAGGAGACAATAGAGATTAATTTAACTTTAGACTTTTAATATGCAGAAAAATATTTTAAGGTCAATCTCTTAAAAATAGAAATCAAACATATTAACTTTAAACCAGCAAAGAAGAGAGAAAAGGATAGGAAACCTCAATCAGAATGAAGGCATGAGGAACTTCTGTTTCTGGCTACAATGATGTGACTGGTCCTGGATTAATCCACTCACTACAAACAACCAGAAAGTTGGACAAAATATATAAGGCAAATCTTTTTGGGAATTGTACAATATGCAGCACAAACTGCACTTTACAAGTGAAGGGAAAGTGCCACAATTTCCCAAACTCTCTCCTTAGGGACAATTTTCCAACCTCAATAAAGCAAACTGGGATCCAAGCAAAATACATGGTTTTGCTTCACTTGGAAGGCAGAGATTAGAGTTAAGGAAGCTGAAGTGGAAGGAATATACACAGCAAAAAGTCAGAAAGGAAGGATTTGGGCAGAAGGCTGACCTCAGATGTCTGAGTAGTAGTTTCTGTAAGTTCTTAAGAAAGCATTGGGCTATACATGTGCAGGACAAGAATTCAAGAGGCTTCTTAGAGAGTCACTACTACTCACTGAGATATAGAGATATCAGAGGTCATACAGTGACAGTGGATAGTGGAGTCCATGCCAGCCAGAGTGGAGCTATCGCATTAACATCTCCTAATATTGTAACTTTTTTACAATGCCCAGTATACATTAATTCTTGGATGTACAAAGAAAGAGAAAAATGTGATATATAGTAAAGAAAATAAATCAAAATAAACTGACACGGAGATGACTAAAGTCTTGCATATATCAGATAATGACTTTAAAGTAGCTATTAAAAATACATTTAAAGGAAAAGGAAAAGGGGCCAGCTCGGTGGTGCAGCAGTTAAGTTCACACGTTCCACTTCACGGCAGCCTGGGGTTTGCCGGTTCAAATCCCAGGTGCGGACATGGCACCGCTTGGCACGCCATGCTGTGGTAGGTGTCCCACATAGAAAGTAGAGGAAGATGGGCACAGATGTTAGCTCAGGGCCAGGCTTCCTCAGCAAAAAAGAGGAGGACTGGCGGTAGTCAGCTCAGGGCTAATCTTCCTCAAAAAAATAAATAAATAAATAAAGGAAAAGGAAAATACATTAACCAAAGGAAAATGTATTCAGAGAATTAAAGGAAAATATGGTCTTAATGAGAGAACAGATAGTGAATCACAGAAGAGAAATAAAACTATTTAAACAGGCAAATAGAAATCTAGAGCTTAAAAGAATAATAAATGAAATTTAAAATTCATTGGATGGGCTTAACAGCAGGTTGGAGATGGTAGAAAAAAGAGTCAGCAAGTTGAAGAAAAATTAGTAGATATTATGCAATCTGAGGAACAGAGCGACAAAATGTTTGCAGAAAAACGCACAGAGTCCCAGAGACCCACAGGACAATATCAAATAATCAAACATATGTATAATAGGAGTCTCAGGAAAAAAAGAGACTAGGGATAAAACTATTTAAAGAGATAATAGGTTGGGCCGGCCCTGTGGCCAAGTGGTTAAGTTCACACATTCTGCTTCAGTGGCCCAGGGTTTCGCCAGTTCAGATCCTAGGCATGGACATGGCACTGCTCATCAGGACACCTTGAGGCAGTGTCCCACATGCCACAACTAGAAGGACCCACAACTAAGATATACAACTATGCATTGGGGGGATTAGGGGAGAAAAAGCAGGAAAAAAAAAAAAGGAAGATTGGCAACTGTTGTTAGCTCAGGTGCCAATCTTTGGAAAAAAAAGAGAGAGATAATGACTAAAAACGTATTCAATTTGACTGGGGGAAAATATGAACTTACAGAGTCAAGAACTTGAGGAAATCCCAAAAAGGATAAAATCAAATAAAACTACACCAAACCACAGATAGTCAAACTTCTGAAAACAAAGATAGAGCAATCAGAGGAAAAGGCACAGCACTACAGGAAACAATGATAAAAATAACTGCTGGCTTCTCATCTCAACAAGGTAGTCCAGGTAACAATGGAACAGCATCTTTAACATGCTGAAAGAAAAACAAATATTGTTATTTAGGAATTTTAATCTGGTAAAAATATACTCCAAAAATAAGGCAAAAATAAAACTGTTTTATGGTAAACAAAAGTGAAAAATTATTTGCAGCAAACATAAATTAAAAGAAATATTAAAGGAAAATCATATCACATAAAAAGGTAGATCTACAAGAAGGAAAGATGAAGACTGAAAAAGTAAATACTAGGTAATACAAGAGATTATATTATTCTCCTTAAAATATAACTGGTTTTTAAAAAGAAATATTAATATTGTAAGGTAGAGTTTACAATATATGAAAAAATAGAAGATATGTAAAAACAGCACAATGGAAAAGGGACAAATTAATGGAATTCTACTGTTGAATGGGTAAAATATTTGGGAAATAGGAAGTAGGGACTGGGAAGTGGGAAGCATCAAATGTGAAGTTATAAGTTTAACAGGGTCAGGTGTTAAATAGAATAATTTGACTCTAAATAGACTTTAATAAGTTAAAGATGGGATATTGTTAATCCTAAGCAAACATTACATACATTTAAAAAACAAAAGAGCTAATAAGCCAAGAAAAGAAATGAAACA